GCACCCCCGGGAGAAGCGGGCTCGCCCCCAGCGAGCCGCCCCATGGCTGGAGTCACCTCGCTCCCCCGCGTCCTCGTCCCAGCAGCTCTAACGAGAGGCCACCTCGGCCGCTTTGCCCGGGGAGGTCATCGCTTCTGTAAATTAATATCGAAACGGGAGCGCCAAAGCCACAACCCTCAGAGGTTTGGGGCACGCTGGGCATTTTTTCCGTCCTGCCGCAGCTGAAGAGGAGCAGAAGCGAGCAGGGGCTTGGGATGTCCAGCCTTGGCCAGCACGGGACAGGAACACCCGCCCCAGGACATGTCCCACCAGGTTGGCCAGGGACTGGGAAGCTTTACTGGTCTGAAAGCCAGCAAAACCAGTCTGAAGGCCAGCAAGGGGACGCAGCACCGGTTCCTGAAGCAGGGTGGGTGTAGCCGTGTCTCAGGGGAGGGTTGGGTTCGTTCTCCAAGCCCTGCTGGGGCACGTTACAGGGTCCATGAGCCTGGAGCGACAACAAGGAGAAGACCACGGCTCTCAGGCACGGGGCCAGACCAGAAACCCTCATGTCCTCCTGCCTGCCAGCTCCACCGAGCGCTGGGAGGCAGGCAGGGCAGCACCTCGGGGTGCATCAACAGAGGCTTCCCGTTGCCAGAGATCTTCAGAGGTGGCTCCCGGCTGCATTTCTGGACGCAGAACGGAAAGTCCCCTTTGTTCGGGATTCAGATCCCGGAGCCTTTGTCACAGGATGGAGACTTCAGCAGCAGGACTCGCTCTTCGCACGAGGCAGGAGGACGCGGGACTCACAGGGCAGAGATGGAGCCTGGGTGGTGGCTGCCTTGCCGGAGGGATGGGGAGCTTGGGGGTCCTGATGGCGATGGCGTGGAGGAACCACACAGAATCATACAGAAGGTTTGGGGTTGGAAGGGATCTCTGTGGGTCATCTAGACCTCTGTGGGTCATCCAGACTTTTCAGATCCAGACTAGATCACAGAATCACAGAATCCCAGCATGGCAGGGGTTGGAAGGGACCTCTGTGGGTCACCCAGCCCAACCCCCTGCCCAAGCAGGGTCACCCACAGCAGGGGGCACAGCACCGCGGCCAGGCGGGGCTGGAATATCTCCAGAGAAGGAGACTCCACAGCCCCTCTGGGCAGCCTGGGCCAGGGC